GAAACTGAAAGTGTAAATAAGGACTAAAAGGTATAATAGATAATGTGAAATAGGAAGAAAAGGGACAAAGAGGAAGGGGAAGTGGGAGGAGTAGGGGAAAGGAAAGAAGGGAATGGAATTAATAAGAGAAAATGAAAAAATGGAAAGAAAGTCTTTAGAGAGGGAGGGATGGAGGAGTTGAAGGGAGGGCAGGGGAAGGTGGAAAAATAAGAACCAAGAGAGACTATGTTAAGGTGCAAATTTCCAATGATGAATGTCATTATACTGTATACCTAAAATGTACCAATAAAATAATATTAAAAAAAAGAAATCACAATTCAAGGTTGGGGTGTAGCACAGTGGTTCAGCTCACACTTAGTATGCACAAGGCCTTGAGTTTGATCCCCAGCACTGAAAAAAGAGGATGAAGGGAAGATGGAGGATGGGCATAATCACAATCTAGACTGAAAAGGTAGAGAAGACTTGATATTTTGGTATCATTTCCATATAGTACTCCATGAAGGACAATTATGATTTTTAACTGTTATCAAGTACTCTTAATAAATCAAAGAGCACATAACCCAAATTGACTATTACTACCTTAAAGGCTGTCAAAGAAAACAAACAACATTAACATTTAATAAGACAAATGCTTTAACTTTGTCCCATTCAATGCTTCAACAACCAAAGTGAAGTAAACAGTATTATTAAATCAATTTTACAGATGAGGAATGAAGTATAGAGAGGTTGAGTAACTTGTTTATGCTCTCATGGATAATGGGTGGTGGAATCTGGACTCAAATGCACAGGCAACCTGACTCCAGAGTCCACATGGCTAACTACTCCATTATACCTGCTCCCAATCACAGAAACACCTAAATCTACACAATCTAGAGGCAGAATGAAAAATAAACCAGGCATCTGAATTACTCTAGATAAAAATTACAAGCATTTAAAGAGAAGAATGATAACACCTAGAGAGGAAAAAAGATCAAATATATTGAAATGATACATAATGCCAAGTATATAATGCAGATTTGATCATCAAGCTAAACTTGCAAAAGTCTGAAATGTTCCAATAGACTCTAATTGAGAGACTGAGAACTAAAGCAAAAAGGAAGGCCATCTCTAAGGAAGCTCTAATCACTATTGGTTGTGTATGAAGTTGTTCTAATTTTAAACATTTGTTTCCAATGTGCCACCAGAGCATATTACAAAAGCCATCAATCTAATCATCAGACACCTAATTATACAATCAATAATAAAAGTCCTCCAAAATGTTGTCATCAATCTCCAGTGACAGACTCATGCCAAGGACATGAGCACTGTGCCCCAGAGGGATTGTTTCAGAATGGAATGATATTCATTTTGTAATAACAACAACTTCCAAAATGTAGCACCTGATGGAACTTTACCTTAGGCGTCTCAAATATTTGTTCCAAATGTATGATGTGCTCATGTTTTACACTTTTTAGGATGTTCACCTCCCGTTCAAGTAACTTCACAGCAGAACTTCCAGCCTTAATCGATGAAGAAACACAGATTTCACATGGGAATGTTACCCTTACATTCCTCATTACAAAAGTTAGTTATTTTATACTGTTTCCTACATTTCTTGAGAAGTTTCTTTTGCAAATGATACCAGGCAGTTTATCCTATGATCATATTAAATTCTGCCCCTTCCTTCCTTTGTCCAATTTCAAATTCTATTTAATTTGGCCTCATACCATATCTATCTCATGGGCTCTTTTTGTAAATTAGCTACAACATGTCATCTTCCCTTCGCAAAATTATTCCAATTTTTAATATGCTTTTTGATATTTCCTTAAAAGTCACACTGACTCTTTCATGTTAGCATAATAAAAACAAAATAATTTTTAAAGTCTAAATTAATTTTATTGGTACAATTTAAAAATACATAACAGTCACATTCATCAAAGGGAATCTGTACCTGTATAAGGCATATTTTGATTCTTCTTTTTCTCCCAATCCCCTCTCCTCCCTCCCACCACCCTCACCTCCCTATTTACAAAAAACTTTGTTTCCATTTTTGCCTTCTTTTCTCATTTTTT